ACCACACAACGTTCACCTTTCATCAGTTGCCTGACGATCGCAATAGCGTGAAACTCCGAGTAGCAACATTCTGTTCCAGCGACCTCCAGTTCTATATATATATATATATATATATATATATATATATAGGGACAGAACGTGCGTACATACTACATCAAAATAAATCATTAAAACGTCAAAAACGCTACAGGTAGCGGGCAGGAGCCCCTTCCTGGTCCTGTGCCCCACGTACCCGGGCCCTATACGCGTCCCCAGCGTACATGGACCTAAACAGGGCAGGCCTCCGGTTTCTTCGTTACGCCAGTGAGTGGGGAATGTTCATCATAACATAAAGAACATATCACTTGGCTATTTAGTTCGATAAATCAAACGTGATGCGCATTACTTTTTAAAAGATAGTCTTACTGTTCTTTGTCGATTCGGGTCTGCTCCTTGTTTTAGTAGCTCCTTCGCACATTCTAAACGATTGTTTGCCGCAGCAAGAATCAATGGCGTTGTTCCTTCCTAAGAGTAAGAAAAAAAAATACTGTAGTGTTATGGGCCTTGAAGATAACGATGAGAGTACATTTATTTTAATAATGTGTCATGGCCTCGGTTAATATTAACGTACAGCAAAACTGTAATGGACCTTTCCGAAGTGTCAATCAAACGTTTGACCAATCAGAAAAGTGCCAGTAATACGCACGAGTCCAACAAACATACGTGTTGTCCCGCAAACTCACATGTTATTACTAGAGATCAGTGGTTATTACGTACAGTTACGCTATAGTTTTGTTGGACCTTAGCAACAGTATCCAAGGGGCGGGGCTTAGTGGAAAGGACCATTACTATTAACATAAAAATTATCAAATATTTTAAGCTCAATCACACCACTCTCACATTCAAATACAATATTATGATATACAATCAACAAGCACGTAATCGCATAGGCCTACTCAAAATTTCAAATAACTTGCGCGGCTTTTATATACCTTAATCTCTTACATGGAATTATATAGACCACTTAACATGAAATTTTTTTTTTTCTTTACATACAGTATTCCCAAGTGTGTAGTAACTTGATTTAGATGATATCTACCAATCACTCCCACGTTACAAGGGATTATATATATTGCAGAGCCATGGTAGCGTGGGAGTTGAGAAACAGTATTTTGAATATCATTTAGTATGGCTGCATTAGGAGAGGCGTTGATATACGTGTCTATGCTGAAGCAAATGTGTGAAATATTTCACTTTGCGAGCGCCACATGCAGTCGACGTAACGATTGAGGTGAACGGAACTTGTATTTGATTGGCTAATAAACGTTAAACCATTAAAATATGGAGGAATGTTCGAGAGAAATTCAGAACATGGAAAATCATGAAAATAAAATTTGGCCTATCACCGTAAATAAAACCAACGCATCGTAGCAAACTGTCATTGGAACGCGTAACGCTTGCACGGAGTGGTGCTTCGTCCCATTTCGGGACTGAGCGTTTGTTTGAGCATATGAGGAATACATTTGCGATGTTTTGAGTGGCAAGGTATACACTAAATCGTAGGAACATCTACTGCTGCAGTACTAAAAGCAGCCTAAGCATGCGATTGGTTTATATGCCTAAACATCTAATAAAGAAACAAGAAATTAACGAACTGTTGTATGTTTATAAAATTGGAGATGACGCGATGCCTGTAGAAATAAATTAGATCAGTGGCACAAAATAAAAGGTAATCTTATTCAATTTCTACAGGCCTACAGAGCAGCGGTATTTGAACACAATCATTATTTACACATGAGTATTTAAAGATTGGAATTATGGAATACTCTTGCATCATATTAGGCTAAGTCTCCCAAAGCCTACGAAATATTAAGTCATGCCAAGTCTAGACCATAAAGCGTGGATGGATGAGTTATTTTTCAATCAGAAATTTTACAATAATCGAGTCTCCACATAGAAAGTACAACCCCCCACCCCCCCCTCTCTCTCTCTCAAAAAAAAAAACTACGTCAAGTACGGTACTAGATGCAATCGCGTGGGAGCCTACTTATTTGTTATTTTTTGGGTTCATCGACTCTTTTCACTGACTGTCAAAACTTGTACACGTCAATTGTTATCAATAACGACCAAATGTTCTCTCTTGAGAATCGGTAATATAAAAAAAATAACCAGTAATGCAAAAAACAGTGTACCTGCAAATGTCAAAATAACCACAAATGTCATAACATGTCAACCACTATAATGTCAAAAAAAAAAAGGTGTAGAAATCTGTTTAACCACAAACGTGAAAAACATTTCCATTTTTATATCTCAAATGTCAAAACATGTTTAACTGCAAATGTAAAAACGCATTGCTTGCATATAGTAATCTTTTGACTGATTCTCACCAAAGAGTGCCTATATACCGTTGCATGGCGCAGGATATTTAATATCTTCCTCATCAAAGAGTCTCGACAGCATAATGGAAGCTCTGTAGCAGCTTTATTGAACCTGTGCTTGAAAATACTGTTCAGAGGAAAGCTGCGGTGATCTATTTATGTATGTATGTATGTATACTGTATATATTTTCTTCATAACAAACTTATGGAAACATGCAAGTGTATTATTATATGAATATGTGGTTATGTGTTTCAGGCTATTTCTCCTACAATATGTTAGTTTGCATGATAAATCAACATACCATATTGGCTATATACCGTAGGCCTACGATTTCGACACCTAACAAATTTTAAAGTTCTTTCTTAACGGTCATGGGCATTTATAAGATGGGCGATTTAGACAGGTAATACCCAGGCAAACAAGTTTTGCGGTCATACTGTATAAGGTTTACATCATGAACCCATACTCTTCCAAATTAGTTTGGAGCCACCTTAATTTTTGCCCCGAATCCAAGACCAATTTCAATTTCAATTCAATTTATTCCACTTGTTCAATACACGGTGTACAGATGAAATGAGTATATATAGGCCTAACAAAAATATCATTACTAAATAATAACAAAATGTAGCATAATGAAATGTAGGCCTAAATACCATAAAGTAAGAACAGTGATGAAGCCAGAACAAGTGTTAAAACTTTGAATTACTTGGCTCCACAGTTAAACAGATGAAAAATGTAAGAAAACAATGGATATATAATAATAATTTCACAACTATACAAGTAAATCAAGCAAGGATTTTTTTTTTTACAGGCTGGATTAAATATATGCATAGACTTTAAATTAATAATATATAATTCGGTAATACGTCCCAGAGTTCAAGGCCATGGCAAAAAATGCCTTTAAAGTAAGTCTGTAAAGGAATGATAATGGTTTCTTACCTAGTACAATAATTGTCAAGCACCAGTGGGGATGTCACCCCTTTCTAAGTAAAACATGAAAATACATACGGTACATTGTAATTAAAAGCTCAAACCTAAGAATATCATGTTCCTTAATGAGGAGCAGTGTGCGCAAGATGTGCAACGCCGAGAGGCCAAGGTACGGTGCGATTGTACAAGATGGCGGCCAAAATCCATAATAACCTAAATTGAATTTCTAATACATTTCATTCGTTTATAAATGTTTTTACTTTCAGGATGAAGACCTTCTTGGTATTACTGCTCTTCATAGCAGTTGTCGAATGTGTTGGTAGCCGGAAGCCGTCAGCTATGAATGATGACATTTACAAGATAATAGTGAAGCTTATTGAGGGCTCGTTTGATGTCCCATGTGCTAAGAGGTCAACCGTGGAAAAGACTGCTATTACACGGTTTTACAGGAATAGAGATCGATATTCTCTCCGAGGACATCCACCAGAACTTTTTCTTGATGAAAAGAGGGTATTACGTAAGTCTGAGCTACACCAGGTTGTATCAGACGCTTATTTCAAGACTAAAGGATCTGGTGCAAGGCGTTTACATCACAACCTCAGGAACAGCTTATCTGGCCTATCAGAAAGATTAATACAAAATGTGCTGTCCGGTAGTAGATCCCACGGTCTTGTGAATGTAAAGTTAATTAATAAGGCACCGTACATTCCTACGGTGGCCAAAGAGGTAATGGAAATTTCACAAATTGACCTGATCAACATGAGCCCAGGAATTAAGTACAGAAATAAGTTTCACAAATATATTCTGATTGTCATAGATGTTTTTTCTAAATATATTTGGTTAAAACCATTACAATCAAAATCCAGTTATAACGTAGCGCATCAGCTTTCAGCAATTTTCGATATTTTTGGTCCACCCAAATTCGTCCAATATGACCAAGGCGCTGAATTTCACAGTAAAGTGAAGCGTCTGCTTACAAACCTAGGTATTCAATATGTAAATAGTGTTCCCTGTGATCCCCAGATCCAAGGTAATGTTGAATGGTCCCATCGATCTCTGAAATCTAAAATACATTTTGATTTATTTACTAAGGGACCATGTGTTAACTGGGTTCGCGAACTGCCAATATATGAGAAGAAAATAAATGATGAACCAAAAGAAGTTCTAGGATGGATGTCTCCATTTACTATTTTCTTTGACAGATATCGCAATGAACTAAAAAATGTGAAGTGGAAAGAGGCTAACAAATTACCGAATTCCAAAATTAGAGAAAAGGCCTATTGTGCCTCCAAATGCATAAATGAAAGAACAAGGTCTCATCAACAGAAATGTCTTAAAACACCCATATATAAACCAGGTGACAACGTTTTAATACGGTTCCCATTAAATTCATCTCGAGTGTGCAGTAAGGCATCAGTATTACCTGGAACAATTATTGAGAGGAATGTGAAAAAGTACAAGTACAAAGTAAAATTCACATACCACACTCGGAAAGAAGACGTTGACAATTGGTTTCCGGTTTATGATATTACTGGAATCACGTTGGCACATCAGAAAAAAGGGGAAATGGTTTCTTTTCGGAAAAAGAAAAAAAATAATCAAAATTTCTACTTCACTCTTGACCAACAAGCCCGATTAGAACACTTACAAAATGACCATGGTCTCTTTGTGCAATGTGCAATACAACCCCGTTGGTGATGGTAATTGCCAGTTTTCCGCTGTCACAGATCAATTAGAAACGATGGGGATATATAGGCATCACGAGACGCTTAGAACTGAAGTTGTTCGATTCCTTCAGAGGCAGACATCTACCTGGTCTTCTTTTATAGCAGAATCGCCACAAAGTTACCTTAACCGAATGGTTCAGGATGGAACGTATGGCGACCAAATAACTCTGCAGGCAATTTCAGATATTTTTCATGTGCAAATAATTATAGTTTCTTCTCTAAACCAAGGAACTACCTTGATAACACCAAATGGTAGAATGGACAATTCATTTTCTTTTGAAATTCCCTACATAATTTTAGGGCATTTAGCAGAAGGAAGTGGGGAACATTTTGTTTCACTTAGAAATGATAGAAGCCAAGTTATTTCTATCATCCGAAACAGTGCTCAGATCTATTTTGATGATGAAATTTTTCAAGATGATGGCTACGTGGATGAAGCAACCCTAGATTCATGTGATGATGTAAACTCACTTAGAGATGATAATGTTA